CCAACACCAAAGAATCAAATGGTTTGGACATCTCGTACGATTACTAACACACCACCCAGCACAACGTGCCTACATAAAAAAAAAATCGATGAAACAAGGCTAGAGGGCGACCGAGTTAGACCTGGATAGATGGAGTCAGGGAAACACTAACAACTCATGGCATCTCCCTGACCCAAGCTCTCCGGCTGGCGACAGAGAGACGTCTCTTTCTTCCCGCGACACCCAAAAGGGTATAAGAGGCGGATAAAAGTAAAAAGTAAAGTAAAGCAAAACTTCTGCTATTTAAAAAGTCGTTTGAACCGGAAAAGGTGGTACAAAACCAGTTGCCAACATTTTTACAAGGGTCGGGGAACTACCTGAAACCATACAGGACAGTAAACGTAAAAAGGAGAGCGAGGGTTTTGTTTTGCTTTGTTTTGTTTTAAAAGTTCTTGAATATTATTTTTTTCGGAATTATGTTCTTCTAGTCTTCATAAAGAACAAACTACCCAAACCGTGTCTATGGGGGCGTAAAGCATTAATCTGTATAATAAATAGTGTATTTAAATTGTAACGATAGGGGCGTAAAACTTTTACAATTACATTATATGGTCGCTTTTGAGGACAAGCAGGCTAACCCAGATTTCTGGGGTTTTCAGAAATCTTGACCAATACCAAAAGGTGGGCATTGCCCTACCTGTAGGAGAAGTTTGGTTTCATTGGTGTGTACATTTGTTTGATTAAAGAGAAAACTCTCTTTGTCTTTTAAAGAAACTGAACAAGGGGCAAACACTTTACTTTTGATTTTCTCAAAACTGCAGTTTTAGGGATAGCCCCCTTGTGCTTAAAAGGGACCATATACACATTACATAATTTATAGTTTTATGATGACTCTTTATGTCTCTGGCAGACGATGTGGAACAGCTTTGACATTAATTGTTATTATTAATGGGTTTTTTGCAACAACACTTATCTTTTTAATTTAGATTTAGTAAGAATTTTACAGCACTTGAAACACAGTTGGGTCACAAAGGTGCCGAGGATTAGAAGCGTTACTAGAGAGTAGCATACAAAGAAATAAAAATGGTGAAATGGTATGGGTTTAACTCCCCTATCAACACTGTTAGGTTATTTAAGAGGCGGGGCCTCCTAGTTTCCGTCTCCGAAAGAACCGAGCCAAGCGAGAAATTCGTGTAAAGTGCTTTTCCCAAGGACACAACGTCGGACCTCCGAACCCGCAATCTCACGATTACGAGTCTGGTGGCCTAACCACTAGGCTACCGACGCCACTGCATACAAAGAAAAGAAGGTGGAGAGATAGGGACAAGCTAAAGAAGGAGTAGGAAACCCCCCCCCCCCCCACCCCTCCAGCAAAAATATGACATTTAGAGAAAAACGACAATTATTGTGACATTCCTTATACTAACCCACCCTCATGTTTCCAAAGGCAATTTACGAGGAGAATAAAGACTTTCTCAATATTATTGTCTCCTTGCTATTTTTATACAAAGAACTGGTTGATCTTTAAAAAATTCTGCCAACGTCTCAATTCACATAGCATGACCCAAAATCGGCAAAATCAAGGGTTACTCCTTCCCTTAAAGAAAAAGAAAACAGCATGAGAGCTCCCTCCAACCACCCATGCAAGTCTCTCGTAAGCCGTGTCTTTGTTTGTTTTAGTAGAGGTTTTACGACGCCCGAAACTGCATACGGTCGTATGAGCGCCAGAAGATTAGAGGAATTACAAGAGAGTGTAAAGTAAAGTAAAGTAAAGTTGTTCCCGCTTCCGATTCGGACATTGGCAATTGTTTTGTTAGTGAGATAACTTCCTGGGCCTTCGGCATATTGTGGTAGGGTGGCCAGTTCTTTTCCACTTCCCCAACTCGAAGTCAGGTACCCATTACTGCTGGGTGGGCAGGAGGGGGCGAAAAAAAATCCGTGTCCGAAACGAGGCTCCAACCCGGACTTTCCGCTTCCGAGATGAGCACACTAACCGCTCCGCCACCGCAATACAAGAGAGTAACAAACATAAAAAAGAAGAAGGGGAGATGTTTGATAGGAAAGAAGGAGCAAACCACACCAGAGCACCCAACAACCACCCATGCATGCCTCTCGTAAGCCAAGTCGTTCATGGCCGATTCGTCCTGCGACTGAAAGGCAAGTCTCTACTACACAATTATGATATTAACATTAACCGAAAAAAAGTATCTAAACTGAGTCGATGTTTCTGTATAACCATTAAGCCACTGGCGCACGAGCGATGAATTACAGCACCCGATAGATAGACGAATAGATAGATGGATAGATAGAAGTATGGATAGATAGAAATATGGATAGATAGATGGATGGATGGATGGATGGATGGATGGATGGATGGATGGATGGATGGATAGATAGATGGATGGATGGATGGATGGATGGATAGAATGATGGATGGATGGATGGATAGACGTGACTTTATTCATACTGATTTCTCAATGACTACTTTCTTTATCAGTAAGCCTACAGTCACAACGGTCTTCGATCTTGTTTTTAGTGGAGGTTTTACGGCACTCGTAACTGCATAAGGTCATATGAGCGCCAGAAGATTAGAGGTGTTACAAGAGAGTAACAAACATAAAACAGAAGGAGGAGAGATGTTTCATAGGAAAGAAGAAGCAAACCGTACGAGAGCACCCGCCAACCACCCACCAACGGTCTTCTCACAAGGGCTGGGCAATGAGTCGCTTTAGCGAAATCCGGATAATATGCTAGTGCAACTCTTCAGCAAATAATATGATATGAGCCTCTTCGGAAAATGGGTTGGAACCACTTCAACAAATGGGTGCACCGAATTCGGTAAACGGGTCAGGAAATGGGGTTAAGAGTCTGAATTTTGACAATATTTCATTGATAATTATCCGGTTATCCGGAGAGATTATCTGGATTTTGCCCACCTCTACTTCCTGTCCCCGTCGTTTTATGCAAGAAAAATTCTGAAATTATGCAAAATGAGCCCAAAAATGTGAAATTATGCGATTCTGTTAATTTTCAACAAAGAATGATAAAGGCAAGTAGTCAGAAATTGTGCCAAAAAAAGTGATCAAAGTTTGCTAAGTTATGCGGGGTGCATAAAACCACGGGGACAGTACTTCTCACCTCCGTATCCCGATGTACAGGCAATGATGACCCAGCTGACGGCGACAGCCCACGCCGACCTGGCCAAAGCGTTGTAGAGAGCGGCGACTTCTGTAGAGCTGGGGTCCTTAGCAGTGATGTCGCCATGGATACCATAAACAACAGCGAGGCCAGTTGCCACGGCAACGGCCCAACCAATGACCACCACGTACTGCCGATGGAAAATGGGCAACAAAATACCAAAAGAACATGAAAATATAGGACAAGGATTGAGTCAACTCGACTTAAAGCTCAGAGAACTGTGGTTTATAATTCGCTGTGATTACCAGACAAGCCAGAATCACGTGAAATAAGTAAACAAACTCAGTGTAGCCAAGTGAGTGTAGGAGAATGGGAGCACGGGGGGTATATAAACAGACGCGAAGGTTAAACTGGCCTTCCGAGCCACGACTAAAACCTAGTTTGAGCAGGGATCGACGCTTCTGGTCGGTCGACACAGTGAATGGAGCTCCGGACCTGTACGACCCACACTCATCGTTCCCCGCTCGAAACAGTGAGTATTGAAACCAACGTAAATAGACTAACGGGTAGAATCTAGGATTAGATAGCAGTTATCCTCTCATTACAAGAACTTTCCTAGTAGTAGTAGTAGATAGTTTTTGTATAGCGCAAATCCCCGCTCAATAGCAAGCTCTATGTTTTTAATAATAATAGATAGCTTTTGCATAGCGCTAATCCACGCTCAACAGCAAGCTCTATGTGCTTAACAATCTATACTATTACTCCAGCAGACCTGAGAGCATTCTGAAACAACATCAACTTCCTGGGAAGCATACAGTGTAAGCAGCCATTTATAGGCGCTAAAACCTTAATAACATACTGACAACATATTTCAATGTCTATAGCCGGGAACCCATTTCCACCTGGGTGAAGTGAGGAAAATTCGGGTAAAGTGCTTTTCTCAAGGACACAAGTCGGGCCCGCGGCTCGAACCCCCGGACCCGCAACCTCACGATTACGAGTCCGGTAGCCTAACCACTAGGCCACCGACGGCACATTGGAAACCCTAAACAACCAAGAGGTCGGTTGCCATAGCTACAGCCCAGCTAATAACCAGTGCTACTACGCACGGTAAAATCTCGCTTCATAAAAACAAGGAATTTTTATTTTTAGTAAGTGTTTTACGGCACTTGCAACACAACAAGGTCATATAAGTGCCCAAGATTAGAGGTGTTACAAGAGAGTAGCAAACATAAAAAAGAAGGAGGGGAGATAAGGAGGAGAGATAAGGAGGGGAGATAAGGAGGGGAGATAAGGAGGGGAGATAAGGAGGGGAGATAAGGTCGATAGATGTTCGATCGGAAAGAAGAAGAAGCAAACCACACCAGAGCACCCGCCAACCACTCACAAACAAGGATTGCATCAAGACTTGTCACTCAAAGAATGCCCCTTGTTTCCTTCGTCAGTTTGTCGCACCCCGCCACACTGCGTCCAAAATAGCCAATTCCCATCTCCGTGGTTTTATGCTCTATGCTCCCCGCATAATTTAGCAAAATTTGATCATTTTTTTTGCATAATTACTGATTATTTTCCTTTATCATTCTTTGTTAGAATCAACAGAATCGCATAATTTCACATTGTTTGACTCGGTTTTCATAATTTCAGAATTTTTCTCACATAAAACGACAGGGACAAACTTAAAGGACTAAATCGTGCTCTGTGAAGTATTTCCGGTTCATTGTGTAGATCACCATATCTTTTTTACTACTCAATTTTAGCCAATTAAGAGCATGCGTAGGGAGGATAAAGATGGTTCCGTTTTGTTTTTGTTTTGTTTTGTTCAGCTGTTGCTTTTTTAGGGGGGGGGGGAGGGGCTTCGTCAATGGAAGCGTAGAACATCTTCTTTTCTACCAAAAATCTATCTTTCTTTCTTGTCTTTATATTATGTTACTCTCTGGTAACACACTTACTCTTGGGCACGTATATGACTTATTTGTGTCGTAAGAACTTTTTTAAAAAGTTAGTAAGTCTTACTTGTCTTACTTGTCCACTGTGTTGGGGTCACTGCAGTCGGAACATGTCCATCTCTGCTTCCCCCCCTTTTCCTCTTCAAGATCCATCCCAGAGTCTGTCTGTGTTTTACGGCACTTGCGACACAGATCATATAAATGCCGAAGACTAAGGTACTACAAGAGGGTGGCAAAAAAAAGAAAGGAGGAGAGATAAAAAGGACAGATTTTGCAGGTTTTCATTTTAGCAAGAGTTTAACGAGACTTGCGACATACACAATTAGGTCATATATGTGTCGAATATGCTGCAAGTTCTGTAAAACTTTTACTTAAACTAAACAAAATGAATCTAAGCGTACCGTATCACGCTAATTGTGACCTATTTCTATCCCCGCGGATTTATGCACACAAAAAAATCTGAAATTATTCAAATTGAGGCCAAAAATGTGAAATTATGAGATTTTATTAATTTTAACAAAGAATGATAATGGAAAATAATAAGAAATAATGCAAAAAAATGATCAAATTTTGCTAAATTATGCGGAATGCATAAAACCACGCGGACGGGTATATTTTGTGTTGCAAGTGCTGGAAAACTTCTACTAAAACTTTTAAAAAACGAATCTAAGGGTAATATATCATGCTATTTTTGACCTATTTCTGTTGCAAGTGCTGTAAAATTTCTTTGTTTATAGTAGAGGTTTTACGGCGCTGGCAACTGCATAAGGTCACATGAGCGCCAAGGGGTGGGTGTCAACAGAGAAGACCTTACAGGGAATTAGACTTACTCTGCTCACTTCTCTAGCTTCAACAGCACAAGGTCTGCTTCGACCATCAAGGCACCCCGGAAATAGCGGGTCACAAGAGTGTGACAAACATTCAAAACAAGTAGAGGAAAATGACGATAACAAGGATTGGGAAAGAAAAAGCAGCAGGTCCCTGTTGCAGCTCAGGCACAGTTATGAGCGTGACAAGATGAATCAGCCCATTTACAATTCTACTGTGCTTGAACGAGAAATGGCCTAAAGACACTGCAGTTGTAAAACTTCTACTAAAACTAAAACTAAGCTAAACTGAATAAGAACTAAGACTGAGTAAAACATGAAACTGTCAAAGTGAAGAAGGGGGGTGCACCTAATCTTGGGCACATGACTTATTACTATTTGTGTTGGAAAAACTGTTTAACATTAAAAGTTAGTAAGCGTTTTACGGCACTTGCGACAAAGTTAGATCGTATAAGTGCCGAAGACTACAAGAGGGTGACCAAAACAAAAAGGAAGGAGGAGAGAAAAAGACCAAAAGATTTTACACGTTTTCATTTTTAGGCCATACCCATTTCATGGCGATCTGGCCGCCGTGTCGCGCCATGAGGTAGCCAGCCAAAACTCCGACGACGAAGGGTCCAATTCTGGTGTAGGGGGTCAGGTAGAACTCTGTAAACCTCTGCGGTTGTGGGTTGGAGTAACTGAGGAAAATAGGCTGCTGGTACAGTTTGGACACCGCATGGTGGTTGGTGGGTGCTCTCATGTGATATATTTAAGTTGCAATAAATAATGAATAATGGAAAGCGCCTAATAATAGACACCTCCCCC